CATGTCACGGGTGAGATGACAGGGCGGAAATAGCGCACGACTTCCGTGCACGCTCTCCAAAACATCTCGCGTTCCATCAACGACCAACAGCGAGTTTCATCCCTTGGCCAGAAACGCATTTGCCATGGAAATAAGGGTCTGGTCTTAGCTCCTGGACAGCCACAGGATCGGCCTCAGGCTCGAAACAGCCATACCCGAGCGGCAAGTGGCTCAATACAGGCGCCCATGGCAAACATAGCCAGTAGCAGACCTCTGCATTGTGACACGTTGACCGCCCTGTTTCCCCAGATCTCGCTTCAAGCGTTCAGGCGTCAAGAAAGCGTGCCTTCGCGACGCCTGAAGTCTCGAAGGTGTTATGGCATGGCATGCGTATACCGATTGATCCGCTCAACAGGCGGCAACTGTTTCTCTATATACTATATAATGGACGCAAATGTGCTCATTTGGCTCGGCAGGCAGGTCCACGTTCTTCTCTTCTCACTACCAATTACACACCAAGACAACCTTCGTTTCTACCCGCATTTTCTTAATTCCCAAACGAGCTAGTCTCTTTACCAACAAACCAACCATAATGCATTTCTCAACCATCTTCGCTGCTTCGGCCATGGCCAGCGCTACCTTCGCAATGGATCACAAGGTCATTGTCGGCAACAAGGCTGGCGATCTTGTCTTCAAGCCAGACAGCCTCAAGGCCGCTGAGGGCGACACTGTCACCTTCTCGTTCTGGCCCAAGAACCACTCCGTCGCTCAGGCTACCTTCGCCAACCCTTGCCAGGTAAGATTCTCCATATACGAACTGCGTGTGGGACATACACTGACTTCGTACGTCCAAATTTAAAGCCTATGGACGGTGGCTTCTTCTCCGGTTTTGTTCCGACATCTGATATGGAGAGCGTCGCCAGCACAACCTTCACCTATGAGGTCAAGAATGCTTCAGCTCCCGTCTGGTTTTACTGCTCTCAGGGCATGCATTGCCAGAATGGCATGGTCGGTGTTATCAACCCCCCGTAAGTTTTCCGCTTATCTTGTAGTCGCTTGCTTTCACTGACATTGTCTAGGGCGTCTGGTCCCAACACTCTTGATGCATTCAAGAACGCTTCTGAGAAGGCCACCGAAAACGTATCGCCTACATCAACCGCCGGCACTGGTGGTAAGCTCAACGAAAACGGTACTTCAACATCCGAGTCACCTTCACCTTCTTCAGCAACAGGTGCTGCGTCCCATCTCGCTGGCAGCGCTGTGTTCGCGGGTATGACGGGTCTGTTCACCTTCTTCATGCTCTAAGCGATCGAGCTTGTAGTGCGAAGCAACTGTTATACCCCAGCAAAGATGGAACGAAGCTCTGGCAGACAATGTGCATTAGTATGGTGGAACACCATCAAGAGAAAGTGGCAAAGTATAGGTATTCTTGGTGTTAATTGTATATGAGTATTGAATGAACTAGTCAAAACTCCAACTATGTACGATCGTGTAGTGAGCACTGCTAATTGGGTAACGTACAGAGCTGCATACATGTTGGTCATAGCAGCATGACTGCTAAACGATGGCGGAGTCTAGGTGGCCTGTTAAGAGTCAGCGAAAGCTGTCGAAAACAAGCAGAAGTGTAATGTGAGGTTGAAATGCAAATCAGACATCCAAGGAAGGTATTCGCGCTCATTGACCATCTAAAGTAGGTTCGATTGATGGCTAGCGTGGAAACTGCGAATGTGGAATGCTTTTCATCATGGTGCAGGGACGGGAAGTTGGGAGAGCAGTAGTACTTACAAGAGCAAGTGCTCAAAGCAGAGAAACTGGTGTCAATGAGCATGCGACACAGGGGCGAGCGCTGGATACGCTTGCAGCTGCAGAAGAAGAAGAAGAAGAAGCACGTGAACTGAAGCAGAGTGCAGGAAGCTAAAAACTTTTAAGTGGACCCGACCGGGGTTATGTTTCGCCGGGGCCGCAGAAACTTGTTGATGTTCAGCGCATGCATGTGCTTGTAATGCCGGACGTGGCTTCTAGAGGAACTGCCTGGACACAATCACTCAGAGCTATGCCCCGGTTTCGACATGTTGTTGTCACATGTTCGTTGTGTGGGCTAGTGTTCCGATAGGGCTCACAACTCAATCACAACCTTGCGAAAGCTGACACCCTCCTTCTGCTTCTTGTAGCCCTCCGCCACAGCGTCGAGTCCCTTTCCAACTACCAGTGGTTCTGGGCTAAAGGTACGTGCGCGAAGTCAGTGTATGCCTCACACGCACTTGGTACATAGATACTTACACAGCTTTTAGTGTACCCCTTTCCAGCGCCTCTGGCACCCACCGAGCCCAGACAACGTCACCGACGTACTTGTCCGCCAGCGCTACACTTGGACCGAAGACGCTTGTGCCCTCGATACCTTTTGGAAGGCCCTCTGCATCAGGCAGCACAGAGCCATAACGTCCACCGAGCTTCTCGTATACTGGTGCCCAGGCAGCCGCAGCATCCGGTGTACCAATGGCGTCACAAACACCCGCGAATTCCGTGCCTTCGAGAGCGGCGATGATGTCGTGGGCGACCTTGGGGTCCTTGTAGTCAAAGGCTGCTGTTGCGCCCAGGCCTTTGAGCTTCTCTAGGTTGTGCTTGCTCGCTACGCTGACGACCTTTACACCGGCACCCGCGGCTAGCTGAATTGCAGTCGCTCCAACGCTGCTCGAGCCGCCCCATACCAACACTGATTTGCCCGTAGAAGAGGGGTTGGAGGATGGCAAGGGTAACGCGAGGGTCTCCTTCTTGAAGAGGCATGCGGCGGCAGTGGAGACGGCAAGAGGTAGCACCGAGGCCTCGGCGAACGTCATGTGCGATGGAATCTTCGATACGACGAGCGCGTTGCAAGCAGTGTAGAGCTGAAATCCACCGTGCGCGGGGTCGTTAGTCACGAGTGAGAACGCGTGTCTGTACCATGCTGTTAGTTCACAGCCCCGCGGAAGCTCTCAAGGTTGAAGGCGGAAGACGAACCCTAGCACCCGGTCGCCCTTGGTAACGTGTGTAACGCCCTCGCCAACTTCGTGCACCTCACCAGCGACGTCAGTACCACAGACGTTGGGATACTTTTGCAGGAAGATGCCGTAGTCCTGGATTTTCCCTGCTCTAATTAGCAACTCATTCCTACTAGAAAATGCAGATACTCACAATCTACGGGGTTAACGGCAACGGCGTGGTTCTTAATAACAACCTCGCCCTTGCCTGCCTTTGGCATGGGAGCTTCCTTGACCTGGAGCTGGCCCTTTGCTTCTGGGATCCATGCTGCTTTGTTTGACATGATGGTGGTAATTCTTGAAAGATATTGTTTCTTGGGAGCAGAGTACAGACACAGATGTGAGGCAAAAACGATGGCTTGTACCTAACTAACGAAAGAAGAGACAGCACCGGTGTACGACGGCGCAACACGCTCGCCGATGCCGTCTACCCACCTTCGATTACTGAGCCTCGGTAGATCTCCAGTTCATGCACACAGATCGAACCCCACATTACGCTTTGTTTTCGAACGTGACTACAGATCTGTTTAGCATGTTAACTGGTGAGCTGGTTATGCGGTGACGTTATCTGAGCAATGATGATGTATAGCGCTATGTCATCGTTGGTGGATTTAAACGGAGTTTGGTCGGCTTGTTCCATGCGCACGGTTCTAGCCGGGGAGTGCCACGAGTGAACACCAACAGAAACGAGAAGAAAAAGAAACAGTAGAGTAATATGAGATTACGTTGCGGGTTGAAAAGAGTTTCGGTTTCGGAGTACTTTTTGGATTCTACGCAATCGCGTTCTTGCTCTGACACGTGGCTATTTAGTTACTGCTTGGAAGCCTAAATTGCATGTGATTTGGGTTCTTGAACAGACTTGATGTCTTCTACTTTATTCATACATTTCAGGTCTTCCCCTTGCGATCTATATACAAACTATTGTTGAACCCTGGCTACTTACGCCAAGATTCGAGTCAAGAAGGTATACATGCAACAGGTTGTGCTTGCAAGTAGCTCTCTGCATAGTTCGCTCTATCTGTTAACTCTTCTTTTGGTTTTATTGGACAAGACAAGCTTTTAGCCTGAAGTGTATTCTCTCACATTGCGATTTTTTTGCGGGGCATGCGGGCGTGTGTAGATACAGACTCAATTACACATCAACAGCTTGTTGTCACCCCATACACAATATTGTCTATCACAGCCTGTAATTCATAACGGCCCATTGCTTTAGAGATTGCAATAGATTCAGGGACTGCATGAGGCTACGCTGGATGCGATCATGAACTCGTTAATGTCTGGTATTTGCTTAACCTATCAAGCGTAAAAGGCGAGATGTGTTAGGTATTCCAATTCATCTCGGCTCCTTATTCCAAAACTGTTGGCTTATGTTGTCCTGCCTCATTTACGATCTCTGCAGATTTCATGTGCCTCCTGTTCGGCCGAGCGTTGTCATAGGTGTGCAGCGTGTACGCCACCAAAATTTCTCAAGAAGCAGCCTGTCCAGGGCTCCGTGGGCTGCTGCCACAACTCGGCCACTCGTGCGCGGCTTAATATTGGGAGGTATGAAGCTCCAGGTCCTCTCCTACCAGGAAATCGAGAAGTTAAGTAAGTGACAAAACCGCGGCAAAGGCCTCGTAAAGGCTGAGAGAGCGATAAGCGTGCTGCCGAGTCATTTGTGACGCGTATCAAGCCACCGTCTGATTCAAGCGCCAATGCCCCGACAAGCGCAGTAGGTAGCAACACCAACCAATGTGGAGTGGCATTGCAACGGCGCAGCCGAAGCAGATGGCCATGCCGCACTCCGATTGACTTTTGTTGGTTTTCCACCACTACAACCACCCTGCCACGAAACCGTCCGTGAGCGCCTCGCCGAAACGCCCGCGTACTGCGATGCTTACTTGGCCTCGCTGATCTGCATCTCGCAATCGGTCCTGCGACCTGATCCCCACCATCCTCATCAACTACCTAGACAGCGACTCTCCGCCGGCTTTCCTCGCGGTCCAAGATACCTTCTTCGCCACGATGAAGCTACCTCCCATCGCGGTAGCCTGTCTTTCCGCTCTCGCCATAGACTCATGCAGCAACGTCATCGCGCAACGCTTGAAAGCATGGAACGAATCTAAGCCCTTCGTCTTCGACCGCGTCCTCTTTACCCAGTTCGCCATCATGGTCGTACTCACCGCGCCCATCAACTACCACTGGCAGAATTGGCTCGAGCGCGCGTTTCCGGGCTGGAAGACCGTCAAGCAAACAAGGGCTGTAGGCGAAGGTGAAGAGGAGAAGGGCATAATGCTGAGAGGTGATGGAGAAGGAAAGGGCATTGTGGAAGAAGAGGTTAGAGTGAGGAACTGGTGGAATATTTTCAAGAAGTGGTTTACGGACGTGAGTGGCCTATGCTCCAATTGTGGTGACGGATTAAAGCTTACTCGCGAGATACAGTGCATAACCATGGGCGCGCTACTGAACCAGTCAATGTTCCTGATTCTGATTGGTCTCATGAAGGGCAAGACAGTTGCGATGATTGGGCAGGACTTCAGAAACGTAAGTAGGCCCTCTGCCGAAGGGCTGCTGTGTGCAGTGCTAATACTTAAAACAGGAGCTCTTCGGTCTCATCTTCGATTCGTACAAGGTCTGGCCGATTGCCAACTTCTTTAGCACCACCTTCATCCCTGTCGAGCGTCGTATTGTCTTCCTCAGCTTCTGCGGTTTACTGTGGAACATATATCTGAGTCTGGTGGCAGCTCGATTGTAGACGTACCAAGACGCAACATACCAGATTCCGCTTAGAATAAACACAAGGAGGATGAGGACTGCGTTACGCTGGTATCTAGATCAAGTAGACATGTTACCACTCCTCGGCCCCTTCTTCCAAGCTTCCATAACCGCTGCCCAATATTTGTTCTCGTCCTCCCTGATATGACCACAGTGCGGACTTTTCTCAAACTGCACCTTTGTCACATCCCATCCCTTTGCCTTGGCAAGATCAGCGTGCTCATCTGCCTCCTCAAACCGAACCATCGTATCCGAACGACTATACAAATACAGACGCGGTACATTGGTATCAAACACCGATTCATCGTTCAGTTCTCGGCAGAGAACTACCATCATATTCTCCCTTCCCGTAGTCTTGTCTGCAATAAATGTGAGGACAAGGAGAAGATGAACCAGCGCCCCACCAAACCAACCCCAAAACGTGTTTCTGGGAAGGGATGCGGATATGGCTGCATGGCTCTGCATCCACGGGCCTTTGGTCGGACTGGAATCGAGAATCTGTGCTTGCATTGGTAGCACTGTACCATACTTCTTTTTCCATGCTTTTGCAAATTCATTGACTTGATTCCCGCCGCCGTTTGAGAAACTATGGACAAGGATGCGTCCTCCTGAAGCGGTATGTTCGGCTACAAGATCTGTTGTTGGCTCGAGCAAAGTGGCGTAGGACGAGGTACGGCGGAACATGTCTGGGGTGAAGCATCGTACCAGCAGGATGCGGGATGTTGGGAAAAGCTTCTGGTAGGCAAGTGTGTATTTGGCGATGTACTTTGCGGCCGCAGCGTTCCAAGTGAAGAGTAGGATGAGCGGAGTTTGCTCTGCGAGTTGGGATAGGTATGATGATGATGTCCAGAGATATGTGTTGTGACCTATCTTTTGAAAATCGGATAGCGGTGTTACCATGTCTGCAACGGGTGGAGAGGTTGATGGCTCCATTGCTGCGTGTGAACAAGGAAGCTGGTATGATGAGGTATATAGACGCCTAGGCAGATATGTATACTACATTGCGTCTTGTTAGCTAATTGTCAACGACGCGACGACCTTCTTTAGAGCAGGTCTTCGAAACACAGCCTCGAAAGAACACGCTTCCTCGTAATTCACGTACGATTTGCTAGTAATGATACGGCCATAGAGCGAGCAGGTTGCTTCATCAGCTGAGCCAGAGAACACAGAGACGTCAATTGGTAATGATATAAAAGTCCTTCCCAGGAATGCACGTTTAATAGCACGAGTTGAATTCACGACCTTGGCGTAGAAGAGCAACCGAGCCGAGGTACCACCATTATTGGCTATTTACGTCCACTCTCGCAACACACACCGAGTTGAATCTACGCGACTTACACTTTTGAGTTCTGAGACTATGGGGCCTTGCATTGTGCAGTCTGACATGGTGGTGCCTAAACCGCAGTCTGGTTCTGACCCAACGCCCATGCAGCTGTGGGGCTCACCGTTGCACCCGCCTGCGCCACCCCGATAGCGATGCTTACGCCGCCCTCGCCCACCGCTGCACTCTATCCTGCAGCAAATCTGATGCCTGATTACTTGGAAGTAGAGGTGGCTGTTGAGCGTGTAGTCTGATGTGAAGTGAGAAGATGATTGGAAATAGTATATGGGAGAGCTCAGCTTGACATGTATTTATCTAGTGGGTCGCTTCTCGTCCCCTGCCACAAGCGCCGCCTCCTGCGATGCCATATGCGACTTGTGCGCGTGCTTGTTGATTGTCGTCTGTATCCCATTGCCATGGCCATGGCGGGCGGAACGTCAGGTACTTGTGGAGCGGCGGGCGTATTATTTGCTCCTTTCCTGCCCAATTTGAGCGACAGTAGTATGAAAACAGCTGCGATCAAGATGGCTAGCAGTAGCATAATCTTCCTCTTGATGGTGCGCTTCTGGTATCCAGAGGCGACGTTGAGCTCCTTGTCGGCTTCTTTGACGTCTCGCGACATGTTCTCTACATTGTAATCTATGCGATCGAGCATGCTGCCCTGATCGATGACCATGGTCTGCAGCTCTTGGAAGATGTTTGCTAGCTCGATGATGCCTTGGGCGATGTCTTCGATTTCGCGCTCGCGCTGAGCAATGATTGCTTGATTGGGGTCGTGGCGCATGCGCTGTTGCTTTGTCTGGAGGAGAGTGGACTGGGAGAAGGAGCGATCGGCGTCCGACTCTTGCAAGGCAGGGTCGTTGTAGGGGTTTTGGACGGGTGTTGCAACGCGGAAGGGCGAGGTGAAGCCGCCAAGGTCGCGTAGTTCTCGACAGACTGTTAGCATAGCCAGGGCTGCGAGGCGGGGGTTGTCTCACTCTTGAGGTAGGCAGCCTGCTTCTTGCGGAACATGGCACTGACATGGCCGACGCGGGTTGCCAGTGCGATTTTGAGGTTCTGGGCCATGACGTCTTCGCCCTGGGCGATGCTGCCCTGCTGTTGTGCGTCGCGGACCATGGCGTCGATGCGCTTGAGGGCTTGCTGGCACTTTTGGAAGAGGCGCGTGATGGCCTGGGTGAGATGCTCAATGTCGCGCTCCTCGCGCCTCTTGACGTCTTCGTCGTCGAAGCCAGGCAGCACGTGCTTCTGGTGCAGCTGGTCGAGCTTGCGTGTCTGCGTGGCGATGTCGGCGAGGTGCTGGGTGATTTCGTCCTGCACGTCGAGCCAGCGCGGAGGCAGCAGGTCCATCTCAATCACGGCGTCGCCGTCGTCGTGGTAGGCGCCGCTGGACATGAGGCCCTGGCGCTCCTCGGACACGCGCGTGCTGTCGCCCAGGCCATTGGGGCGCGGGCGGGCATGGCGCGTCTTCTGCTGGGGGTGGTGGGCGTAGGACTGGCGGTAGGATATGAAGAGGTTGGTTCGGTCCCGCCACATGCTGGGCTGGCGAGGGTCAGCCTGAGAGGACGGCCAGACTGTGAGTGACGGCCGCTTCGCAGGCGTGTCGGCGGCTGAGGTGCGGTGCGCCGGCGAGGGAGCCGCCTTCCCGCTCTGGGCGACGCTAGGCCAGCTCCCCAACAGACGGCCGTCTGACAGCCTGCTCCACTCCAGCCCATCTTGCCCAGCCGCAAACACTACGGGACCCTCCTTCACACCACACCTGCGCCTCTGCTCTATCCACCGCCCCAGCCCATCGTCGCCCAGCAGCCCAGCACCCTTCACCCTCGCACCCACCACCCACCACCCAGAGACAACATGGTGTGTAGCCCCGCCCGCCCGCGCGCCCTCGCACATACCCCGCCCTGCAAAACACGACGACCGCACGCCCGCCCCCAGCCCGGCGCATTGCTAACACTGCCCTCTAGGCCGATTCTCTCACCGAGGAGCAGGTCTCCGAGTTCAAGGAGGCCTTCTCTCTGTTTGTAAGTGGCCGCCCAGCCCTGCCTGCCACCCAACACCAGCTAACCACCTTGCGATGCAGGACAAGGACGGCGATGGTCAGTACTCTCCGTCGCCTGCACCACCCACACCTTGCCCCCCTGGGAGCGCCCTCGTTCCTGCCCACGCAACCGCACTCCGCACTAGACACCCGAGTTTGACCCCGCTGACGATGATGCCTCACAGGCCAAATCACCACCAAGGAGCTGGGCACCGTCATGCGCTCGCTCGGCCAAAATCCCAGCGAGTCTGAGCTCCAGGACATGATCAACGAGGTGGATGCCGACAACAACGGCACCATTGACTTCCCAGGCACCTCTCCCTCCCACTTCTGCCACACCCCCGCTCTAACCTCGTGCAGAATTCCTGACCATGATGGCCCGCAAGATGAAGGACACCGACTCCGAGGAGGAGATCCGGGAGGCCTTCAAGGTCTTCGACCGCGACAACAACGGCTTCATCTCCGCCGCCGAGCTGCGCCACGTCATGACTTCTATCGGCGAGAAATTGACCGATGACGAGGTTGACGAGATGATCCGGGAGGCCGACCAGGACGGCGACGGCCGAATTGACTGTACGTCCTGTTAGCTGCCATCACACGTGTCGCTCTAACACAATCCAGACAACGAGTTCGTCCAGCTCATGATGCAGAAGTAAGCCTCTGAAGTTGCGAGGTGGAATGACTACATGTATTGCGATGGTAGCACGGCTGAGAGTTGATGTCGACGAGTGACGGCACAGTTTGACCTACTTGGCGTGTCGTGTCTTTGTACCCCGGATTCGGTTGCTTGTAACCCGAGTCGCCCGGCTTGTTTGTCAGCGTCTGCAGGGAATTGTCTCCTATACCTATCCTCAATTCACATTCTCACGTATTTACCCCAACTTTCACTTTGGTGCAGAGCCTCTCCTGAATGGTCTTGAGCCACACTCAAGCCTTCGGGTTTTTGCAAGACACGCAGGGCCATGAGGCGGTGCATACCCGGACAAGCTTTGACCGCTTAGCCTGCGGGTCCTTTGCTGATCAGTCTCCATGGACACGAATGCGCGTCTTCCAAGGGTAAACCTTCTTCCTCTGCCCAACTGTGCTGCGGATTGCGATCTTCGGCTGCTTCATTGCGATTGCCCTACGCCCCTCCCCCATGATGATCAACGCATCTGCGTCCACCACAGTGAGACAATATGGCAACCTCGCACAAGACACATAGATTTCCAAAAGGTGTGTGGTCGTGCAATCGCTTTCTGTTTGTTATGACCGAATCGCATACTCTTCTATTCGTAGTCTTGTACCCGTATTGCATTGCGAGCAGGAATATACGCAGTCCTCCTCGAGCCGAACGGGTCAAGAGGCCGTACTGCCGCCCCGTCTGTATGTCATCACTAGAAAGTATAGGCGAGATCGACACGAAAAGGGAATAAGGATCTTCGTTACAGCAAGTCATGGAGAGACGTTTATGGCAAATGCCATCTCCCGTTCGATTATCCACCCACTGACGGAAGTCCCCAGCATGGCGACTGCCATCTCACGTCCGAGTCGTCGTCATCGTAAACCACGACGGTTGCGGCTCCATCTGGCTTGGCAAGTAGAGGCGGAGGGAGCCGCGACGTTGCGCAACGGCTTTCTAGGCTTTCGAATAAGACATTTGCCCGGTACCGCCTAAGACGTTGAAGTTGCTAGGGTCTACTGACCCTCTCGACCGTTCTTGGGCGCAAGGTTGGCGTGTCGATGTGATTACGGAGGTGAAGAGTTTGCGTAGGTTGCTGAGTCATAACAGGCTGGGGCCAAGTGCGAACCCCTGAGTGTCTGGGAAGAAGTAGTGGTACAAGTGTACCTTGGAACTTCCTTGGTCCTCTTCTTGTACGGGTTGCAATGTTGTGTAGGAAGCGTGGAAATGTCCGAATCTTAATGAGTACGAGTTGAAGAAGTGATTCAAGACATTGCGAAATGATAGATGTACTAGAGAAGCAATATTGAGCAAGTAAAACCTACAGTTCTCTTGGGAAGACTCATAAATAGTACACATGTTCACGTATTCGGATTTGGAAAAGCTGATCGTGTACATTGTTCAACAATGGCCTAGAAGTATCAGTGCGCATCCCGTATGATTATTAGGCCTTTATCAAAGCCTACACCTAGGTAGCTGTCGCGAATCGTACGTACCAAGCTGTCGATACTCTAGCTACATGTCATATGACAGGAAATTGATGGATTGAGTCGTAGTGAACATGATGTTTGTCCGAGACGTGCGACCTTTAATATTTAAATGCAGTCAGAAATGCGGTATAACCTCTTGGCTTGATTCACGAGTGTAGGAACAGTAGATCTCGCTGTTGCCGGGAGTGTCCCCAGGCATCGTGATACCATAGGTTAGCGATGTAGGGGCCACCATCCGTTCTGATCGAGCCGCCTGTTCCCTCCATCTTCTCTTCCGTTCGAGAGGGTTTACTCAGGAATAACGTCATGCATGGGGTAATAACTCACCAGCTTATATAATCTTCAGCCTAGCTCTAGACCCAGCATCGCGCTCGCCAATCTACGCTCGTTTTATGTGTACATGAGTATTGTGTAGACCCTGCATGC